AAATAAGAAAAAAGATTCGGATATCGCTTCCTGTTCTCACGAAGCCACCCTTTTTCTTTCTACCCCTGAGCTGACGTATCAAGAACAATTTTTCAAAAGCGGCACACGTAGCACAGATGCGATATGCTTTTTAAACGACAAAGCTACGCCGAAGTTGTGTGTGTTTGCACGAAATATCCCACATTCGTTCGCTTGCATGTCTGCCCGTGACGTACATACCTATTTCACTGTGCATACTTTTGTGTATGCGTGCAAATCTGTATGCATATATATATATACATTACTTTACACGTATATGTATATGTATATGCATACGTCGAGATTCTTGGTAAAGTTAGAAAGCACTCAATTTTAGCTACGTCATTGGAATTTATAGCAATGAACAGATAATCGAGAAAAATCGTGCAGTAATACGAAACCCTAGAAAGACAACAGTCTGTTATACGATACGATTTCCACCGCGAGGAACTCCTTCAAATCTTGCCGATAGATTTTTATCCGTGATAGGAGAGAGAGAAAGAGAAAGAAAAAGAAGCTTACGAATTGCTATAATTTACTATGGCACAATCGTAGAATTTAAATCGATTGTAAAACAACTTTGAAAAAATAAATATCTTTTTCGTAAAAATAAAATATATGTATTACATAAATATATTTTTTGTAGAATTATGAAAAAATTTATCTATAAGAATTTGGCATAATCTGTGAAATGAATAAAAAGAGTGAACGTCAGGAATGACTGAATATGATCAGAATAAAAGTCTAGCGTATTGATGAAAAATAGAATAATCGGATATCGATGATAAAATAAAGAATCGTACTTTTTACGAATTAACAAAAAATGTTACAGGAAAATGTAGTCTTTGCCAATACTTTTGCACTGCACTTTATCCGTTCATTCAAACTTTCTTTTTAAACATAATCAATTTCATCATCGATGATCTATAAAGAATTAATTAAATCTTCATCATAAAAAAGAAATACTAATATTTTATTTACATATCAATAAAATCATGGGATAATGGTCTGATATTGAGAAACAAAAATTGGTATTCTCGTAAAAGATATAATTGCTTACATTAAATAATATTTCTATCTCATTTGTCTCTTTTATCCTTATGACTTTTACATTCGCATTGCAAAATATTCTTGACACTTAAAAGACATAAACATGTAGTCTAGACGTCAGGTCCACCCTTTCTATTCCCTGATTGCATCCAAAGAATGCAACCACGATCTCGTCAACGCAGACCCTCGTCGACTATCTTCTTCACGCACGACAATCTAAAAGACAAGTGCCTCCTCTTCCTCCTTTTCTATTTTCCCTTTTTCCTTTTTCTTGTTCTTGTTCTTTTTCCTCTTCTTCTTCATTTTCCTCCTATCTTTTTCTTTCGCTCATCATAAATGATAACATCCGCAAGATACTATAAGAGATATTTTCTTTCTCTTTCTACATTTTTCTTTTTTACTTTCGTTTTTATTTGTAATCTTAAAACGAAACAAACTGACAGAAAAGAGAACAATAAGAATGTTCTCACCATTCTTGACTAAAAGACAAAAATTATAGATTAACCTTTGTACTATCTTGATTTTTTTCGTTACTTATTAGAGATTAATTATAATAGCTGGTATAGTACACTTATACTTTAACGACAAAAAGTAAAAAAATCCTTTGAAATCATTTTAGTCAAAATATTATGCATACTCATTAGTAATCTATATAAATATTCAAAAAATTTTATCATTTTATTTTTATTATTAATTCCTTCGCGATCTAATTATTTAAAAAGTAGGATTTTTTCAGTAATTTTTTTTTATTGAAGGAGGAAGAGGAAAAGAGATAGAGAGGAACGTGCAATTAAACGTTACTTTAAAATTACATTAAAAGTTGTTAAGCAAAATAATGTTTTTCCGTCAGGGTTAACCCCATAGTGTAAAAGATTAAAGTTTAGATAAAGATTAAAATAAAACGAAATAGTAGAAATTTTGAGAGATGAAGTAGCAATGTAAGAAAATGAAGGAGAAATAGGGAAAATAAGTTTTCCGAGCATATTTACTTGAGATTCGAGGGATTTAGATTGAAATAACATCGCGTAAGCGAGCGACAGGATGAATCGACGGATAAAACCCATGGAACGAGGTCGAAAAGGGAAAAGGAAGGAAGCATCAGCTTCTCTTCGAAAATATATATATATATATATAATACATACATATATACACGTGTATATTGACTCCCATCAAAAGACACCTTGAACATTTTCTTCAGTCACGATGAAATAGCTTTGAAATTGCCTTAAAAAGAAAGAAGATTTTCAACCAGACTTTGTTGCAAAAAGATTGTTATATATTCTATTTACATACGTGAAAAATAATGCAAATATCTTGCCAGGCAATAAACGATATGAAAATAATAGAAATGTTAATGATAAACAAATATTTTTAAAAAACACAAGAATATAAATAAATATATGTATTGCGTATAGATTTTAACATGTATAAAAATATCACAATTTTGTATTATTCATGTATAATGTTATTTAAAAACTGAGTAAAATTGTTTAAAGTAATATTTATTAATTGTCCTTAAATCGATCGAACATGAATATGATACTTTTATTTCAAATTATTTTATGTATATTTATAAAAAAAATTATTAAATCTATTATGTAAGACACAGATGTAACTGACAAGACACAAAGATCCTTATAAGTTACGTTCAAGAAACACCATCTTCGAAGAGCTCTTATTTCGTACCTACTCGAGATCCTTCGGGTTTTACCCTCGTCTAAAAGAAGGATCAACCATTGACGTTGACGAGTATCCGTCGAATTGGCTGACAAAATGTCCAATACCGTTCTCCCTTTAATATGTCAAAATATCAAAAACGTTTCTTTGTGAAGACGAGACTTTATTTTATTTCTTTTTGCTTTGTTTTTATTTCAAAAATTTTTCAAATAAATATAAATTTATTTTTTTATTATTATTACTTTTTTTTTCTATTATTAGAACGTGATTTGTTACCTTCCTAAAAAATAAATTCGAAGATCCATAAAGTTTTAAAGCAATTCGTTATAGTTCGTATCATACTTTTGAATAATAATTTACATAACACACTTCATTGATAAATAAGAACTGAATGAAAAGTCAACTCGTATGTACGAGAGAATTTGCAGAAATGGACGGTCTGTACATTCAGTGGAATAGAGACTTGATTTTCGGTTATATATTACGGAAGCTCGCGATGAATCGATCGGAAGTCAGGCAATGGGCGAGGTATATTTACACGAAAGTATTTCCATGATGGCACGATATGAATCACTTATCGTCTATATACGATAGAAATGTTCTGATGATCATCTCCGAATTTTTTAATGTGAATTAAAAAATTAGTGTGTATTATTATTTCTTGTTGTTATTATTATTATTCTTGTTGTTGTTGTTGTTTTTTAGGTTGGTTGTTGCTGATGTTGTTTTTTTGGTTTGTTGTTGTTGTTGTTTATTTGGTTTATTGATTCTAAAATTAAGTCGAGATTATTTCTAAAATTAAGTCGAGATTATTTCTAAAATTAAGTCGAGATTTTTTCTACATTTTAGTCGAGATTTTTTCTAAATACTAACATTTTGAATAGAACAAGCTTTTTAACAAATTGGAGAAACATCTGGAATCGTTCAGATTGTAATCGGATCTATAACAACACATTTACAAGTTTGCATTAAAATGCAAGAGAATCATTTTGAGCATTTTCTATAAAGGTAATTAGATAACACAAGATTTCATATAGGAAAATAGATAAAACATATGTTTATATATATTTTTTTCATTATTCTTACGTATACAATCAGTTCCCGAAGTATCTCTCACATATTCTACTTAATCCTGTATTTCCTACATATTCTATACATATCCCATAAATCTTGTATATGTCTATTACAGTTGAAATACATTTCATATAAATCCTATATACCTATACGTATATGACAAATTTATAGATACATCAAAGTTGAATTAGATGTAAGCTAAGGACTCCATAACCGGTACAAACGTGTATGGTGTATAGAATAAAACGAACGTGAAAGAGTATTTTAAAGCGTTTCGAAACTGTCCTCGATAGTTATATACTCGTCCACGTATAAGATACATATATCACGGGAGAGCGTACATTGTCTCGTATTTATTGCAAACGGCTATCGTGAACCAACCATTCCCATTCGAAACGATCGTAAACACCGTATGGTCCGAACGACCACTGTCCGAAGACAATACTTTTGAAAATAATGACACGAATCGCCTTTGGGATTGCAATAACGCGCTTCTGCGCATTAGTTCTAAATTCCAGGACAATAAGCGAAATATATTACTCTTTGTTTCCAGCAATATATATCGGGATCGATACGAGTACAGAACGACTGATGCACGAATTTTGAACAATTATTATTATAAATTATGATTGATACTTATTTTATATTTGTAGTAATATCTGTATATTCAGTATTTGTATTTATGATTTTTTTATGTTATTTTATAAAAGTGTCTCTTGATTTTATATTTGTGTCATGAAAGCTTTTAGATTAATTACAATAAAATAGCAGTTATTACGGACAGATTAATTACAATAAAATAGCAGTTATTTACGATTCGACAGGCTGTAAATCATGAATTAAATTATATTATATTTGTAATCTATATAATTGCGAAAAAAAATCTGATAAATTTCTAGCATCAGGGATTAAAAAATTTTCCTGAAATTTCAAATATTGTAATTCCTTAGAAAATCCTACTAATCGAAATAAATTCTCTCAACGAACGAATATAAAATCAAACAAAAACTTCTGACGATAAGTGAGGATATGCGAACACGATATAAAATGGAGGCGCCACATGCTTGATATAAGCGAACAAGCTTCTTTATCAATGGAACAACGTTGAGTTTGAAACACGAAAATTATGAGGCAGAGAGCTCCTTTCTATGCGAATCATTGGAAAAAAAATCTTTCGTCAGTCTTTTACGCGAAAGAGAAGAGGAAAGTGGTTTCTGATGCGTGTGCGTACGTCATCGTTAAATTGAACATGCAACAGAACCATACGTGAAAATATGTGAAATTCTAAATTAGGTTTAAAAAAAAACTATAATTTCTTGCTGGTTGGTATCGATTGAATTTTGTTAATAAAATATCTCATCTATATTGTATATATCTTATGGTTAATTTTTATCATTTACTCTCTCTCTCTCTCTCTATCTATCTCTCTCTCTCTCTCTATCTCTCTTTATTTCTTTCTTATTAATTAATTCACCTGTCCCCTTATCTCTTTTTCACACGAGAAAATTCTTCTAACTTTTTTAAGAAACTCGAGATTTTTATATCTTATACATATTTATATCTATGACTACGATGTCTTGTACGATATGTAAAAAAAATGAATCATATTAATGATATACGTATATAGTAAATATTGAACAAGGTCGTGTTAAACATAAACGAAGTCAGCAACTGATTATATTAGATATCGTTTCAAAAGTTTTTTACTTCTTCTTAATAAATGTTGCACAAATATTTTTTAGTTTATATTATTATTTAATATTATATATTTTATTTATATTATAATTTATATTTATATTTTACTATATATAGTAATATTTACATATTTATTTTTTACTGAATATATAGAAAAATGTAGACAATTATTTTACTGATATAGTGAAAAATAATAGGTCATATATAACACAATAAAATAAAATAACAAATATTGTACCCGTAAAACTTACTAATGAATAAGAACAAGCAAGAAATTTTTGGGACAACATACTAATAAATATATATAAATATGCACATCGATGATTCTAACTTTAAAGTAGTAGAAACTTAAACGACTTATACTCGATACGCGTGACTGTCGTTCGATATCTATTGATTTTTTCTGTAATCGAGAAGCAAGTCGTAAACACGTGTTTTATGGGAAACGGAAATAGAGTTGTGTCTCTGACGACGATAACTTTTTTACGATCAAGTAGTGCGTATAAATAGAATTGCTTTCATAATTCATTAAGGAAACTAAAATCAGATATATTTAACGTGTTATGTAATCGGAACCACGTGTTAAAAACGATGAAACTGGGATGGAAAAGAGTAAACAAGTTCTATCTCAAAGAAACCTTAATTATCAATAATCTGTAACACGATAATTTGAATAAGTCATTGTTGAATTAGTTATTTTGTAAAACAATATTTCGGAGAGTATATTTATTTACATTTTGAAAAATATTAGCGTTTTAGAAACAAGTATAATTATTTTTTTTCTTCCATTATATAATTTTTGAGCCTAGAATAAATAATTTATTCACCTCAACTTCTTTTTTGTACGAAAATTAACAATTAGAAAGCTTTCAATAGTATAAAATTAATCCACAAATTATTTAATTTTTTAATCAAGAAAATGAATTATTTTTTCTCATTGAAGAATCGTTATGAATGAAGCTATTGATATTTAAAAAAAAAAACAAATATATTTAAAATAACGCAAAAGCCTTTATTGAAATGAATTTAGTCACAGAATGGTTTAACGGTGATTAGGAAAATATGATGTAATTAATAATTTCGTAGGAAAAAAATAAAAATAAAAAATTCTTATCCGAACGATCGAGATGTGTGATCTTCGTGCATGTCTTTTCAGATTGGACATAACATCAAATTCATAGGAAGGAAAAAATAAAAATGACAAGCAGCATTTTGAGTTTATTGACGAGACCGACGATATCGTCGAATTTAAGTAATTTACTACGTCGTTATGCGTCTACTTCAAGGTACATATTAAACTTAAGAAGTAATTATTCTTACCAAAATTAATTTTTATACTTATTAATAGAGATACCTGCAACATATATGATCTCGTTGTGGTTGGTGGTGGAATTGTAGGATGTGCCACGGCGCGTGAAATGTTAATGAGACATCCTAACTTAAAAATAGCTATTGTAGAAAAAGAAAATGCCCTTGCGAAACACCAAACAGGCCACAATAGTGGTGTCGTTCACGCTGGAATATACTATATGCCTGGTAGTATAAAGGTAATAATAATAAAGAAAATTACAATTTTCTGAAAAAATATAAAATTTATGATATTTTTGGAAAAATCTAGTCTCTTTTTTAATATAAGCGATTTTAATCTCGATCGATTTCAAACGATTGAGCAACACTCCCTTAAGAAATGTTTGATCCGGTAGCCAATGATTACAGGCGAAACTGTGCGTCGAAGGTTTAAAACTATCCTATGAGTATTTTTGCAAGAATGATATACCTCATAAAAAGGTTGGCAAATTAATAGTAGCTCAGAATCAGCAACAGGCTAAAATGATAAACAACCTGTTTGAACGAGGAACGAAGAATAACGTACCTGATCTTCAATTAGTCGATAAGGATTGTATCGCAAATTACGAACCAAAATGTAAGGTAAAGATTACTTATATACTATATTACTTATATACTTATATACTATAATATTATTACTTAAAAGTATTATTATATTAAAATTTTACTTTAGTATTATTAGTATAATATTATATGCTAGAATATTATTAAAAAATTAGATATTTGTTATGTCAAATTCGTAACGAGATATAAACAAATAAAACAGCATTAATTTTAGGGTGAGAAAGCCATTTGGTCGCCATGGACAGGAATTGTGGATTGGGCTTTAGTTTGTAAACACTTCGCTGCGGATTTTCAAAAAATGGGCGGTGAAATATTTCTTAATTACGAAGTTACTGGATTTGCAGAAATGGTAGAATCGCAAACTGGTGGACAATTGGCACCTATAGTCGTTCAATCTAAAAATAAGGTACATTTATTTCTCCTTTAATCTAACGAAATTTTTGCGAATTATTATCAATAACCATTCCATAACTTATTCCAGTGTATTTCAACGAAATACGTATTAACATGTGCTGGTTTACATTCGGATCATTTAGCCGTCATGACAGGATGCGACCGCAGTCCACGAATAGTTCCTTTCCGAGGCGAATATCTTCTTCTAAGTGAAAATAAAAAACATTTATGTACAACGAACATATATCCAGTACCTAATATACAATTACCGTTCTTGGGTGTTCACTTTACCCCTAAAATAAATGGTGAAATATGGCTCGGTCCAAATGCTATTTTGGCCTTAGCTAGAGAAGGTTACAAGTAAGAGTTAACAAAAAAGTTTATTAAAAAATCATAAGAGTAAAAGATACTCATCAAAGTCCTGTAATTTTATGCATTAGATGGACCGATATTAACATAAAAGATTGCATAGAAATGGCTAAATTCCCTGGATTATATAAGTTGTCCTTCAGGTATTTTATACCTGGAGTTAAAGAAGTTATTAAATCGATATTTTATCCGTTGGCAATAAAGGACCTTCAGAAATTTATACCAGATATTACATATAAAGATGTAAAGAGGTATATATGATTGTGTATATGTATCTTGTATCTCTTTGCTATCAATTTCAAATTTTATAGTATTTTGAATAACCTCATTGTTCCAGAGGGCCTGCTGGTGTCAGAGCACAAGCATTAGATAGTGATGGCAGACTAGTAGATGATTTTGTTTTTGATAATGGAACTGGTAATATTGGATGCAGGGTTCTTCACTGTCGTAATGCTCCTTCACCTGCTGCAACGAGTAGTATGGCCATAGCAAAATACATTGCTGATAAACTTCAAAATGACTTCAAGTTTTAATATTTTGCAATATGATTGAAGAATGTGATAAAGTCGCTTAGCAATGGAGGAAATTCCATTCTCTTGTACACAGCTATTATATAGTTCATAATAGAAGCTGTTACGGTCCAAAAAATATATCATAAGATTATAATATATTTTACTATGTTATTTCTGTGTATCTGAAGTTTGTATTTGGTACATATACCATATATTACACCGTATTCGTTTATGAAACCCTTTTATTGAAAAGAAATAAAGAAGGATTGATATTTTTATATTCTTCTATTAAATTTTTTGTATAACAGCAATTGATGATAAATACCTATCTACATTCTATTTTTTTGTATATATATATATATATATACATATATATTTATATAAATATTTTGTTTCTAAAAATTTGTAATAAATCAGCATGTTTTGATATCACACATATGATGTATACTTTCTCTAAGTATCTATCATTTTGATTGATTCAAATAACTGATACCATGGCTAATATAATAAACATATTAACCACTACCAGGTACATATTGAATTAAAATATATGAATATCATATTAAAGAAAATATTTCAAGTATCTAGGTTGATAATTATACATGTATATTGTAAAATGATCTATGGTAATTTAAATCAGTCTAATACCATTCCCTGATATCAAAACTCGAGACGTTGGAAAATCCCATGCAGCTGTCGAATGAAACATCATATTTGAAAGAACAACACCGTATTCACTCATAGCAAACATGGAATATACTGAAATTATATAAAACTATTGGTGATTTTCCCTTCTACATTTAAAACTCAAAGTATACTAACTACTAAACATGACATTGCAAATTTATTATTTTATAATCCTTCTACTTACCAAGTGGTTCGCAATATTTATTATGCCTATAAAAAAAATAACATGCTAATAATATGGAGAATACATTTGACATCATTGCTCTCCATTTCCATCTTATAGATGCAGTCTCATAAAAATCTCTGGTTATGTTACAACAATTCTTCATAACAAAGTATGATAATGGCATGTGAATAGAAGACATCAACAAGAATGTTATAAAAGATAATTTATGAAATGCTGAAAAAATTAATAATTATTACCATTATCCTACACAAATGCAAATAAATGTATACTTTTCCTAATACATACCATAGTTTGAGTCCGAAGTCCAGAAGCTTAAAGTCACTAAAGATACATTTTCAACAATATATGTGGCTAAAACAATATTACTGATATACCGTGCCCACTTATATACATGTTCTTTATAATAACGGAAGTACATGATTAGAACTAATGTTCTAGTTATAGCTTGCATAGCGATTGCCATTTTCCAAACATCTTTTTGAGGTCTATAATGACCGATAGTTGCAGAGACGGATGGAAGGAAATTGTAAACCTATATAAAAAGAAGCATGGAAATCTTAATCACAAATATATATTATTCTAATCGAATTCGTATTTCTTATAAAATAAAGAATGTCTTAGAATAATAACATTAATTCAGAATTTTCAAATTTTAAACGAATATTCTATTGATGATTTCTATTGTTAAGTAAATTTCATTACCTTGCAATGTGTGGCAGTGGCATGTTCAAAATTATAAAGTACAGACCAAATAACACAGAAAATAAACGCAAACAGTGGCAAGGATACAGTGACCCAAGCTAATCTCGGAAAAGATATAATTGCTCGTACTTTCAACATGTCTTCTTCGGTTAGAGGAATATAATCTGACCCTATCCTCAATTTACTCATAATCACAGTACTGGTTAGTCTTTCTTACGTCACAAAAATAGTATCAAGTTAGATTATATTACCGAATGGTTATTTAATTCTTAATACCGTATCACTATCGCAAAAACATTTCGTTAGCTTTTAACACCTATTCTACTAAAATAGGTGTTAAATAAAACATCTTAATTGATAGCAAAAATATTGTAATTTACATTTTTTAATTGTACTAGAAAAATAATTTAAAAATTTCTCAATTTTTTGGCAAGAATATTAGAAAATATAAATAATTACTCATTTTAAAGATAATAACACGAAATAAAGCTAAATAGAACTAAATATTGTCCCTATATTCATATTGCTCCGAAGATAAAAAGCAATGATAAATATTCTTAAATGTGACTAAGAGATGGCTCTACTCTCGCTCAATAGAAATCAGCTGATCGTACAGTGTACCCCGTGACACGCGTTATATTAATATTGTGTTTATACATATGAAATTCTATGTATAAAAAAAGAATAAAAAATTAATTTGTTTTGTGGACAGAAGTTTTAAACAATCCTTTTTATTGTTTGTCGATAATATTTAATGAATTCATCGATATAGATAAAGTGTGTTCGTTAATTTTGACTGCCACTGAAAAAGTTTGAGGTTAAAGTTACTAGTAATAATAAATAAGTTACGTATTTTTTCTTAAATATCATCGAAGAACCCAAGATTGTCAACCTTAATCAACGATTAATTAACAACGAAACATGTAAGTCTATTAACTTTGCATATTATTCAGAATATATAGATCGTTTATTAATTTTTTTTATTATATTTCAACTTACAATTAGTCTTAATAATTATTAATATAATATGTTTACATGCAACGCTATTGAAATATTTTTTACAGATTTATTAACAAATAATTTATTATTTAGGTATTAATAATAGCTTTATGTACTTGACAAAAATTGAATATTATTATTATACTGATATCAGTAAGAATATTGAGTTGTTGGTAGGCAGTGGCAATGCAACATATGGAGTGTATATAGTTAGTAAATTTTAGCAAAATTTACATGCTTTTTTTATATTCGAAATGTAGCGAATCGATGAAATGTGTTAGTTAGAAATATCATTTTATTAGTACGTTACAAATGTGTCTTAGTAAATCATTATTCTGAAAAGTACTTTTTAATTAACTTCATCATAATAGCTTCTTTAAAACTGGGTTAGTCATTAGTCAGATCGTTCACTCATAATGTTCGCATAGAACATTAATCAGTGTTCACACATAACAACAAACAATGATCAACAAAATAACTTTAAAGATGATAACTTAGGCTTCTAATAAGAGTATCACAAACTGGCATATATTTAATATTAATAACAAAAGAAATAATATTAATTGTATACTTTATAAATTTTTATTAATTTCTCTCTTATCCCGTTTTATTTTTTTATATATTTTTTTTTAATATAAACCTAGCGATTTGCTTTTTTCACATTTTTTGTTTTATTAATTATCTGACTTTTTGTAACTTGTTCGAAAAGTAAACTAGATTCGTTAGCAACGTTCAAGAAATGGATTTCGTCGTTTATATTCTCGAAAACGTTGCTTATTCACTAACACACATAGAAGTCAGTCATCATTCACGGCAATCCATGTTCCGGTTCGTTCGAGACGCTAGTATCTCTTGTTAACAAGACTCTTTGTTTCGAGTCTACTCATCGATCAGCCTGTTCTGAATTTCAGGATCCAGTCGTGCCAAATAATTTCTCCCGTAGGATAAACTGCTATTCCTTGACAACTTTGTAACCTGGATAACACTGTTTCGTTCGTCCTACCATTGTTCAACCACATTTTACATTTATTTTACAACTATTTTCCTAATACAGATAATAAAATGATCCATCAAATAAATGTCATTATTTAAATCAATGATATTTAAATGTATAATTTATGATATTAAAAAAATAGATTAATACGAGGAATGTATCGAAAAAAAAACCTATACAAAAAAAAATAAATGCATGTACATTGAAAAAGAAAAAAAGAAAAAATATTTTACGAGCTCGACCATTTCATTAATTAATTTTTAATGTTTAATTTGCTGTGATGAAAAATGTAAAGCATTTTTGTTGAGAGAAAAAAGCTGTTCTCCATCAGGATAGAATGTTTACATAAATGATATAACCAATTTTTTTTACAAAATAAGTCTTCTCTATTCGAGATAGGATGTATTTTAAATTCGGACGAATTTTTGGGTTTTAACGCGTAAAATATCGAATTTAAACATCGTAACGATAAAACCAATGCCAACAAATACAGATAAACAAAATCAATTATAACATTTATTATACGCTGGCTAAACTTCTTTTCGTATTTTTTCATTCGCATTTTAATCCCTGCTTCAATTTTGCGAGCAGGATCGAATTCATCTATAATTCTACTTTAATCCGTTTCCTGGATGCGAAATGGGTGAGTTCCAGTGATTGTGTTTACGCTAATCCTTTCTTTTTTCTTTTTTATAAAAGCTTACACATTATATGTGGTTGTTGTTAGATATTTTTTTTTGGAATTTATGGAAAATATATTAATGTTAAAAACATTAATAATAAAAAAAAGATTTTTTAATCCTAGATTTTTTGTCCGCACCTGAACAAATCTGGCGATCGACATTTACGAATTATTGGCAAACATTTTCCAATATTTCTCTTTCATATTTTCTATTCGTTCCACGTAGATTTTATGTTATCCGTATGTGTATTTGTGTGTATATGTATATATATGCATGAATTTTCATTTACCAAAAGCAACTACAGATGTGTATTGGCCAAGTGCTAAAAGGAGCCTTTACTTCGTATTTTCTGTCTTCATCTTCACGAACTAACGTCATGGTTTTAAGGCTTGGCCAGTTTCATGCGAGGACTTAGACGCAATGCGTCGAGACGCTTTGCCAGAAAGACCGCAGTATCGTCGTGTTATGAGAAAGACAGAGGCAGATAGATAGATAGATAGATAGATAGATAAATAGATAGTTGGATAGGTAGATAGATAAAAGATAGAGAAAAAGAGAGAGAAAGAAAGATAGAAGGAAAGACTACAATTCTTTTCTTTTCTTCTTTATATTTCCTTGTCTCTAATAATTTTTCTCTTTTTCTTTCTATCATTTTCTATTTATCTCGGTGATACAGGCTCTTCGTTTGGACTGTTCAAAGAACTGCTTTTGCTGACTCAGTCTCGTGGATGCGGAGAGAAATGCGGCCTTTTTGACTGACGCGAACCGCACTGCTGCTTTTGGCAGAGTGGTTACGTCACGAATTGAACCCTCTCATCGTGCTTTATTTCCTTTTTTTTTCTCTCTAATTTTATACATATTTGTTAGTGGCCAATGATCTTATGGATCTAGACCAGAAGAAAACGAAAGAAATGATTATTAACAATAATATAATTTTTGTTTACTGAGAAGACTTCAAATATTTTTGACTGTAATGTTTTTATATGATGAACGAATGAACGATCCATCGAATTTATCACTGGGATATATATTTGTAAAAACAATCCTGAACTCGCAAAGAAAAGCAAAAAATCTTCTGTTTTTCGATTATGCAAAGTTTCTTTGGTGGCAAAGACTTTGGCGAGGATACATTCAACGCAATGGCTTGACGCAGTCCGGTGCCAACACTTTCAAGGTTCTCTTGACACAATGCTTTCTTGTTCTTTATCATTTTGATACAATTTTAAGGATGCTTCGCTTAAATATATACGAAAATTGTCAAGTTCCTTCAAGAAATGATCGATTTTTAATTGATCAGATTATACAGTTTATTTTAAAATGACTTTAAAAGAAAATTTGTTCTTTGAATTTTCTTTGATAAAAGATACAAATTACATTTCAAACAACCTTATGTCAACGAGTACTCATACCTACTATTTTTAAAGAAAATACTCAAAAGAATAATAAAAAATATTGACTTTATATATAGTAAAAGTAAATATATATATAAAATGTAATATAAAATATATTCTTACAAGAGTGAAAGGAAGGATATAATTAAAAAATAAAATGTTCGACCTTTTATTATTTATAAATATAAACGATGTAATGGAAAATTTGACATTGACAAGTAAAAATAAATGTAAATTAAAATGAAGAAGTATTTTTATGCATTATGATTTTAAATTATTCACAGATATTAAAAATAAATATAAATTAAATAGAAAAAAAAAATATATACATATATATTGTCATAAGTTCGACCATTTAAGAGAACAATCGATTAGAAAATATATTAACTAATAATTTAATTAAAAATATAAATTATTACGAAAATAAATATAAATTAAAAGATATTTTCACACACATATTATTACTAATATGACAATTTAAGAACAGTCGATTAGAAAATATATTAACTAATGAATGAATTCTAAACGTTCAACTTGCTATGGTATATTTAAATATGTCAAACGATATATACTACAGATGCAGATATTCAATGCGACCTAGCAGAACGTTGTCGCTATTTCGGAAGCTAACTACGAATATCGGAAAAGAAAAGAGAAGAAGAAATGACGGTAGCAAATACTCGATAGGAAACGATTCTTTGGTCCAGCGAACATGTTCGAAGACGTGGAACGTCAGTGGAGAAATGTTTACATCTTCTTCACAAGGAAAGACCCGTTGTACGAGTTGAATCTTTCGAACTTGTTATTCCACGTTTTAAACGACCGACTGTTCGTTCCCTCGAAAATGAAGCATCGAAACGAGAAGGATGTATGTACGCTCCACTGTATTTTGAAGATGCTGACGAAATGCAAGCCGTTTTAACAAAAGTGCACGAAATTTAAAACTATAAACATTTTCATTTTGACTCATTCATGTAAAATCGGTATATGTATAAACACACAATGACTAATTTAAATGATTATAATTGAAAAATAAATTAAATGATTTCATTTGATAAAAATGTATGTGAAATTATTTAATATTTTTACATAAAAGATTTTAATACATTATCGAGAAATTTCAATGATTTTAATCTAACTTCAAAAATCATTTTAATTATTTAAAATTACATATATATATAAATTTATAATAAAAAGGATTTTGAAATACACGTAACTTCTATCTAGATAGTTATAGTAAAGTATAAATAAATATAGGTTCTATTATGTTCTAACGAGGACTATATTTGTCGTGACCGAGCACAGCCCATTGGTTTCACGACTGACATGAATGAAACTGGAAGTGTGTTACTGACACTAAATTCTATTTGTGTCAAACAATACGAAAAAGACACACACTTACTTACATATATGTATAGACTGACAGATTAGTCGTAGCTTGCATAAGTGTCACTTTAACATCGTGTCACTTTACTTCACTTTAATGCTCTTCTTTTTTCTTTATAATGCCCAGTATCGATGAAAACAGATTTGTTTATTCTCGATTAGAATATAATAAGAAATACATAGGGACAATTTATATGCAAGCAGAAAAATTTGAAAAAATTTCTTTTATGATCTATTTTATAATATAAATGTAATCATAATGTAAATCATGAAATTAATTTCTTCAAATATTTTTGTTTACTTATTTTATTGCTTGCACATAGAACGATTGAAACGAATACGATGATAAATATAAATTTATTTAATATCATACAATATATTGTTTTTGTAAATTAAATTTTTTATTTATTACTTTTATTGCTAATAAAATATAATCATAAAGTACCAATTTAGATGATATCGTTTGATCTTATCTCATTTGATGGGAAAACGATTAGAATTTCATTCGGGAGATGCGTAAATATGACATAAGCCTCGACGTGGGTCAAGTACGAATAGAAGAGGGTCGGTAATATTTTGACGCATCTGTCAGTCGATAAATCGTTAATGGAACTAGAAATCCAACACTTGCTATAGTACAATGAAACTGCAGAAGTTTCTGCAGTAAGTATGGTATCTCATGTTTCTACCCTACGGTCTTTAATTTTCTTGGATCTTTTTTTTTTTTAACAAACATGTCAGTTTCTATTCACTTTTTTGTTTCATTAATTATATTTAAATATAAAGGAAAAAGTAAAATGATAATAAAAATTTGACGAATTGAAAAAAATTGAAAATACATATTGTTATACAAACAAATAATTATTAATGAAATAATAAATAAATAATCTCACCAGGATTTATGTTCGTGTTCAATGAACCATTTAAGATTCAAGTTATAATTTTCATTTGATTGAATTTAGGAGTCATGAAAGCCTACATGCTTACATCGTAGAAATGCAAAAGTTGTGTAATTATCGAAAGATACGCATTCGAAGAAAATTGGATTTCATTGCACTAGTTTCTTGACCAGTCTTATCGTTTACGTTTGTAACCGTAATGGAACTTGGTTATCAATTTGCATTGTCAGTCTTACGTGTGCATTTCAATACGTATCAGTGCAAATAATTGTTCATATCTATTGATTTCAAGGAGAATAAACTGTCCGAAAAGAGAAGAGAAAAAAAAACTGCAAATATTATATCTATCAAGTTGATTCGTAATTATAAGTGTTATTATTAATGTGAATTGTAATTAAATTTTATAATAATTTATTCTCATCTCTCTTATTTATAATATTACTTATTTATGAATCAAGCCAATATTTTTATATTTGTAATTTCGAATATTTAAAATTGATCAAATAAAATATAAGAAATTATTCAATTGTACAGAATGATAAATAAGAATGTTTAACAAATTCTCCGAGTTTCCGATAACATCGTCGTTTTAATTTTACGAATAGTTTCGATTCCATTGAAATGTATTTCTCTCTTCATTCTCCGATTAAACATGGAACCAGTGTTTCTCGGCTACGCGTAAATGCACATTCTACTTCGTCATCAGTATTTGCTCGTTGCTCTCTACATTTTCCGATCACGTAGCGATTAATCGTCAGTTACTTTGCCTCGAACGAGATGAACGACGATTTTCGAGCCGGCTGATACGTTTTACCTCGTTTTAGTTTCATCTTTCTTTCATTTATAACGTTTAACGATCAATCAGTGATTAAATTGGAAAACTGTTTTATCAAATAACGTAAATTCTTCACGAATTTCATATTAATGTCTATAAATAATCCTTTACGATGAAGCCTTATATATATATATATATTTTTCTCTATTCATCTATCCATCTCTTCTAAACATTTGAGCTTTAATTTGAAACATTTGCAGCGTAAATACAATGTGAAAAGCATCGTGGAACTATGGATTTGTGGTGAGAAATATAGAGAAAGCTATTGAACGTATATACGTAATACGTCCTACACAAATATATGCACATGAAAAGAGGAAATTGAATTAACGTAAACGTTACGATACGTGAATACTATAAATATGAAATTTTATATCGACTTAACAATATTTTTATAGGATAGATATATAAAATATGATATATGTTAATATATGAAATAAAAAGAGAATTACAAATGACATTACGAAAAAACAAAATATATATAGATAAATGTAAAAATATAAAATATAAAAAATATAGATGTAGAAATTAATTTATAATTTCAAACAAATTTATTCAAGGCATTAAATTAATTTCTACATCATATATATCTATACAGTATATGTACATACAATAAGGGTAAATTTTGTATAAAAAATAGAAAGAGAAATGAATATCGAACGTTGAAAAAAAATTGAATCAACGTTGGGGGGGGCAGCACAAAGTACGATTCATCATTTCTGGGGAATGAACGAAGGACAAAAATGGAAGATGAAGAAGTAGAAGATGAGATTATCGATTAGTGTAATACGGTTTCCGATGAGGGTATATATAAGCTTCTGAATAAAAAGAAATATTGTCATGGTTTGCTTTATTATGCGTCCCACGAAATTGTACATTTTTCGATTAAAAATTTCACACTTTTTCTCATATGACAGTGACAACTAAATGTAAAATGTGTTACGTTATATGATAAACGAGGGTAGAAAGCATAATAATAATAGCAATAATAATAATAACAGTAATAATCATCATCGTCACAATCATAATAAGATAGCGAATGAATTCATAATGGAGTTCTATTTTATTCCTCGTCTTTCATACGTCATGCAAGTATGTATGGATAAAACAAAAGAAAATTCTAACGTCACAAATAATAATAACTTATCTTCAACCCTATTTTTTGATTTTGCGTTTAAATAAATATTTATAGATTTAAAATATTAATTTGCATATATTAATATATAATTTATTAATTTCTCTTAGCATGTATAAAAAATAAATAAAGTTAAAAAAAAATATAAACATATATATGAGGAATTAGAATAAGTTATATAAAGGTTATAGGCATTTGAAATCCTCTTAAAATCGACTAATTATTAAACGCGTATTTCTCTTTCTCTCTCTCTCTCTCTCTCTTTTTCTCTCTCGTCGAGAAGTTAGCTAGTGGCAACATATTAATTTCAGGTCGCCGGCACGTTTTATCGAAGACTTTGGCCAAGATTTAAACGTCGCTTCGGCGACAGTTTAATGTCTACGAACACGACTGGCACGATATTCGAACTACGGCTTAGATTTTCAGTGCCAGTGGTAAAAGCAGACGCGTGACACGACTGTTAGAGACATTGGTAAACGAACGATATTACTCTTTGCTCTTTTCCAAAAGCATGCTCTCTTGACACCTACTGTCGGAAAAAAATAACGAGAAAATTGATTTTTATTTTTTTATTTTTTTAATTATATTTTGTATTTTCCTGTTACTTACGCTCTTTTCAATCGAATTTTTTGTTTTTAAACAAATTCAACGCGGAAAGTGCTCCAAGAGAATACGATAAATATGGGATTTTGTTTTTTCAGAACTTACATTAGAAAATCTGTTTGTATTTAAAGGGACATCAAAAGATTTTCCTTCGAAAAATATTTTTCACTTCACGCATAATTTTTCTCCTTTCAACTGTACTTTCCTATCACGGGATTTCCCTAAATATGCTTGCCTCATCAAACTAAAAGTAACCATACATCAACGAGTTCCTACGACGACAAATACGTATATACGTATACATAAATATTAATATATTGTATATGTATCCTTAAAAAAGGATAACAAATTTGAAGTGAGTTATTGATCAATCTAATTTACGAAACTTCACGCTATACGTAAAACATTTTAGTCTAAATTTTCGATTACAAAGGAAGAGGACGATAAGAGAGGAAAAGAAGAAGTTAGCTCGTTCAACTACTAACGAAAAATTAATTATTCGTCGGTTAGGACATTAACAGTCGAAATAATAGAAGGAATTACTCAGGAGTTTATCAAACTTTTAATAAGCAATTATTTCACATTTTAATGAGAGGAATCAGGGACTTCTAGGTGTGCGGATTTTTGCATAAATTAGGAAAAAGAAAGAAGGAAGAAAATCTACCGAGCGAGGGAGAGAGAGAGAGAGAAAGAAAGAAAGAAAGAAAATGAGAAAAAGAGACAAAAAAGGAAGAGTGTGAAACGAGAAACAAAGTGACAGTTTCAGCTCACGAAGAGAAGTTAGAAAGAAAGAGATAGCGAATAATAGGGTCGTCGTGGTAGCGCAAAAGAGGCAGAATATACGAGTGGTGGTAAGTGCGAGTGAAATAGAAGTTCGGAGTGACGCGCAAGCGCCGATTTGCGGCGTGGAGAACGCTTGCCATCCGCGTGGCGCGAGTTAGAACTTGGCTTCGTGCTTTTAGTCTTGCCCCGTCCCTTCGTCCATCCTCGTCCTTGCCCGTCTGCTTACTTGCTACGATCAGCCCTCTAACCACCACACCACCCTCTATTCTCGTTCACGCGGGAAATTTATCCGCGTGCATCAAGAACGCGTGCTACTCGTGCCTGAAAAAGAATCGACTCATTTGTAAAGAAAAATTCATATCTTTAATCAGAATTAGGATGATTTTGTTACCGAAGTGCCTGTTCATTCTATCGAAGAACAAACTTTAATTACTAAATTATTATTGGATATCTTGGTATAATTTAAAAAGGTAATTGGGGAGAGCTTTGATGTCGAATCTTTACAAACAAAAAAATAGTCTTTAGTGGTCCTTTTTATAAATCAACATAATAATAGAATGTCGGAAGAATTATTATCTTGTCGTGATTCTACAATCACCAGAAGAAATAACAAGTCAAATACAGCTCAAAGAAGATGGCGTATCTTAGCAAAAGCTTTAACAGGCTCTTCGGATTATCAAGCAGAATCAGACGAGGAGATTTCCGTACGACGTTTCACGAGTTTTGGATTACTTAAACCGATTCTCTTGGAAAATACTATAACCGATTCTGACTCTTGCTGGTACGAGTATTCCGCCATGTTGGAGAACGAACTCTTTGAAGTTCAGATACGAAGGATAAACAAGAATTTTACTGCGAATGAACTCATTGGATTCAATAATACCGGGAATGTTTGCGTCTGGCCGTCCGAGGAGTGTCTCGCTTACTATTTGCTAAAGAATCGTGCTATTTGTCGAAACAGAAGCGTTCTCGAACTTGGTGGTGGTATGAGTTGTCTTGCTGGTGTCCTCGTTGCGAAATACTGCAATCCGAGTGCGGTCACGCTTACCGACGGCAACGTTACCAGCGTCGATAACGTTCGTTGTATCGTCCTTAGAAACGACATGGCCGATTTCGTCGAGTGTGGAGTTCTTCAATGGGCTAGGGCTGCTCGAGCCCTTAGGCAAGCTGCTGTAAAAAAATGCAATCGAAAGGTGATTATCTTCTCTCGAAAGGGTAGTATGCATTTTCTAAAGGCTATTTCGATAAAGCTACCTTTTACAACGATCCATACTTCGGCTTCATTGATCTCGATTGAATCAATTTCTTTTACTATGTAAGAACGATTATATGATCTCGATCGATCGTAAATGTCGGTCGTAAAATTGATCGCGATATCGTATCGATAACGATGTACTTATATTCGTTCTTTTATTTTCTCAATTTCCATCCTTTTCCATCCATTTATTGATATACTATAATGTACAAAATATTTTCTTCATCTTTTTGATTTGCATATTTTTTTTTTTTTATTTTTCTATAGCCTATATAATTTTTTAAGAAATATTTTTTTAACCTTTTCATCCTACGCGTAAATTCTTTTTTTTTCTTCTTTTTTTAATTAATATTTTTGGTAGACTTTTAATCGAACATCCAGAGATAATCGTTCCAACACGAATCGTGGTGTTAAAGAGCATACAAATTTCGAAACGTATGGTCGATGCTCTCGTGGCCGAATAACGCGATTCGTCGTGTGCCATTCTGACCGATGTTAACGTGATCGGCATCGACAATGTCAAGTGCACCCTTGTCTTCGACAACGCGCATACCAATTTCGTATGAGACCCGACGTAATACATTCCGCGTCACGTTCGATGAATCACTTCGAACATCGTGCCTTGCTCGATGAAAAAATAACAAAGACTTCTGGGGAACAAAACGAATAAATTTTGTAATAAAAATAAAAATACACGCAAGAGTATCACAATAAAACGTATAGAGCTTCCTACTTACAAACATCAGTAAAATATAATATTTGTATAAATATGATGTATTTATTCTCTGACAAAATTTATAATTAATTATATTCACAATGTATTTGAAACTCAAGCTAATCAACGCGCTCGACAAAATTTTATTTGTATTTACTTAATTTGTAAAGTTTCCGTTGGTAATTGCATATTTTATTTAATAATACGGTCAATTCAATGTCGTCGAAAGATATTTAAAATTTGAATTAATACCAATGTCATTTCGTTAACGAACAAATCGAATATCGTTTGTTCTATTATGCGAATCGATAGTTTAGTAAGCTTTTATAAGTTCGGTCCATTCGTGGGTAGTAAATCTTGTGCAGAACTTCCGGGTCGTTTTCTCTATTACAGACCAAACGGAACGCGCGAATAGCTATGTGGATGATGCACCATTCGAACGTTTCCGGCTAGACTTTAGCTCGACTTCCTGTGTATATCGTATCGAGCTCTTTCTTTCTCTCTCTTTTCTTTTTCTCTCTCTCCCCTCGTATTTCCGCTTCTACTTAATGTTTCGCCTTTTTCTTTTTTCTATTTTTTCAAATAACATACTCGTGACAACGGTCAAGTATCGTCTCTCAATTTGGCAAATCGGTGGTTCTTTCTTTCTACGTCCGCTGGTTGCTATTTGTATTTGTATTTTTTTTTATTTAAAAAAAGAAAAAAACAAACAGAATACATTTTGGAATAAAATTGCACAGTTCGACTTATTTTAAAATAAAACAATTAATAAATTTCATTTACGATTTCAAAAGTCCCATTTTCAAGATGAAAATATAAAATATTATTTTTTTGTTTATTTATTTCTTTTTACCTTGATAATTTCCTCGGAGAAATCTCAAAGTGTACCATCCAGTCTGATTTCACTAGAGTATCAAGTTTCGGATATACAAGTTAACGTCTACTCACTTCGCTCATAAATGTTTCGTCAATATTACGTATGTACACATATGATAGATTAGATAGAAAAGCTCTAACTTTTTTATTGAATCGTTCTGAATACATGCAAACATACTCAAACGTTTTTAAAAATAATTATCCCTTTTCCAATTCTCGTTCGATCGTAAATACATATATCGACCAATAATGTTTCTCTGGTATATAAGAATTTTTTGAAATTTTTTTATATTTTTTGTTCTTGTTTTTTTCTCTTTTTTGATCGAATTTCATCAGATGACACGCATCATCGACGAGGAGGATGATGACTTACCAAGCAAGAAAGGATTGTACGAGGTGATCCTGTGCGCAGATTGTCTCTTCTTTGACGATGCCAGGCTTGACCTAGTCGAAACGATTTATGGTTGGCTTGCTGACGACGGTGTGGCCCTGGTGATAGCACCTAGACGTGGAACGACGTTTCAGAAATTTGCCGAAGCTGCGATCAAACGTGGTTTCATAGCCAGGCAAACCGAACGATACGACAGCGAGGTCTGGTCGAGACATCTGGAACTTTTGGATCAGAGCCAAGAATATTCAGCCGATTTGCATTATCCTGTTCTCCTGGAACTTTGCAAGCAGAAAAAGACACCACCAGGATGATCGAGATCCATTGGGGATGAAGAGGACGACGACGACTATGACCTTGACGAGAGTTTCACCAAATGAAATATATTTTTTTACTCTTTGAAAACAAACCCTTCGTGATATTGTCTCTCTGTATTTTGTGAAGTTGTTTCTTGGAATAGAAAGAACATAGGAGATAAATGAACGTTGTTTATATTTTATGACAACGTAAGACAAATGATGGATTATGAAGAAACGTTCAAGAGTTCAAGGTTCAACGATGATTGTTAAAAATGATTCTGAAAAAGTACTTTGCCGTGTCGTTTGGATTTTAGAATCGAAAACTCTAAAAGAAAGTTTTCCCTAACACGGTGTAACGTGTAAAACCGAATGGCATCGTTGTTCAGCGTTAATAACATATTAGCCAAATTGACGATGCTCCATCGGCTTACTAACATCATCTTAAGACTTAGACGACGTTAAAGATGTTCTTGGAATACTATTCTCTATCTTTCTCTCTCTCTCTCTCTCTCTCTCTCTCTCTCTCTCTCTCTCTCTAAGTTACTTATTAAAGACCGTTTTCATTATACTCGAAAATGCATCTCGTTGTGTACGAGCGTGCACGTGCATTCTAAGTATAATATTTATACGACGAAGGAAATGTTTAATCTTACAAAATGAGAGTATAAAAAGGTAGTCAATAAAAAGAAAAGAAAAGGAAAGATTATTTAGCTTGTTAAAGTAACTGTTTTTTATTGTTTAAAAAGAGTTTAGGAGACCATTAAGAGAGTCGTATTCAATTCGTACCTGATTTTTCATAGAACGAAAAAGTCAGTGTTCCGATATCTCATTATATGATCTAATTGTGTATGTGTGTGTGTGCGTGTGTGCGTGTGTGCTGACAAATTTCTAAGTTGTTTCGTACGAACAATTTGAATAAATGTGTTTGACACTTTGGACATCGATATCGAACGGGGATAAGAAAATAAAAAAGTTTTTATTTAATTTTTATCTATGTTGGGGAGTTTCTTTAAAGATTAAAAGACACTAAAAAAAATATTTGTACAAAACTTGTACCGTCAGTGATACATTTCTAATTTATGTGATTCTTTTTTTAGAAGATATACAATTTCTCATTAAGAATGTTTCGTTATTAAAAAACTTATTTAAAAAACGATGTCATTGAATCGAGGAAATAATAAGTCGAGGGTTCACCTGGATCGCGGTTATTCAAGTTTTAACATAGTCTCCCCTTGTTTTTCTGCACGATTACGGAGTAACGCGTGTCTGCTCACTGATCAAGAGTCTTTGAAAGCGAGTTTATACAAAAGAGAAAAAAAACGGGAGAAAGGGGAAGAGTTCTTTAACCACCCTTATACGAAGTCACTCTCCGTTGACAATGTGGACGATGATCGGATAAGCTTATTCTCTCTCTCTCTCTCTCTCTCTTTCTCTTTCTCTCTTTCTCTCTTTCTCTTTCTCTCTCTCTCTCTCCTCTCATTTTATCTTGCTTTTGTCTGAAGAATTTTCGAAAAAATTCAACGACATATCGTATAGGTATATTGTATCGTTTTGTCGTCTATATCCGAGATTGCTCGTTTGCCGTTTTCGATAGAAAAGATCAACGTTGTGTTGATGAAAGAAATAAAAGGAATGGTTCGGATGCGGTTGACGGCCGGTGCTGAAAATAAATATCAACGTGAATACTTTCGAAGGATCGATCGAGTTCTTCCCTTCTATGCTTTTCATTCGATTATCCATCCCCTTTTTTAAAGAAGCGAACGAATTAGATAAAGAAAAAAAAAAGGAAAGGAAAAAGATATGCTTCGATTTTTTTTAACTTTTTGATCGATTCGAAAATCTACGGGGTCGAGGATCAAATTAAGAAATCGTAGTAGCTTCTTTAATCTCAACTTCTTTCACGCTCGAACGAACAAGATTCGAAAGACCATAACCGCGAACAACAACGGTGACTCGACTACTGTCGTTAACTAACAGACAACGTTGTAATAACGTTGTTGCGACAATGAATAATGATAGAGAAAGTAGGGGAGAGAAAAAAAGGCCAGATACCGAGTAGCCAGACGCGATAAGTCGACCCCATCGCGATCCAACATCGATCAAACTCGACGAAATATATTCCTCCATTTTGCTTGACATAATATCGCGAACGTCACGATCTCTACATACAGGATACTTCAGATCTAAACCGACAGACTTTGCAAACATGTTGGGGAGATAATTGTGAGTTCAAAATCTTTTGTCATATATACCATGGGACTTTATTCGTCTTCATTTTGAAAATATAAATAAAAATACTGACAAGTATGGTAGATTTTTTGTTTTTTTTTTTCTAATAGATGTTTATGAAATCGAGGATGTAATTTCATGGAAAACTTTACGTACTGAATAAATGTTATTGAATAATAGCAGAAATTAGAATTGTTGTTTACTTTCAATAATAATCTTGCTAATATTCAGCGAATACGGTTCGTGAATACGGTACTCACTTATTTGCGCACACAAACAGACAAGAAATGATCATTTTAAACAACTTGTGTAAATCAGTGTAGACAAAATGTTTGAAATAAATGATTATCATTAAAGGTTAAGTACCTTTTAATAGAGCTGATTACTTGTGGTTTATATTACTTTCTCTATTTTATCTCGGAAACGAAGACAAATCGATTCATGATGTTATATAACATTTTCTACTCAAAATGAACTCCAAACGTGTTGGCAAAGTTTGTCGGCTTTCATTTGAAATACCCTATAAATATATATTTATTTAACGTATTTATATACTCGACGACTCGTTACATATTGTTTTGATTGTAATTCTATGTTCTATATATTCCATTCTATTTAAATGAATTATAATTGTGGCTTTATTTTATTTATCATTTTATTATGCACTTTAAAAATACTTTTTCATTTGTAAGAGTGAATGAATTAGTTTATCTCCTTTTAAAATATATTTATTTGGATAATGTTGAAAAACATTTTATTATCTGTTATCAGTTTTTGTAAGAGAAGAAAAATCATTTAATGTCGTTTGAAATAATTAAGGGTCCAAAGCTCTTACGAAGAGTCTCCTTTAAGATTTTTCAAACTTTCATAATGCGAAAAATTTAGATAAATTTTTAGCAGCTATATATAGTTTTTATAGAAATAATCAATAGATAATATATCGAAAAAGAATACAATATACATATTCAATTATTATTACGAGTTTTAATATGCAAATTGCTTACTTAATACAACAAATTATATAATGCCAGTTTCATATATGTAAAGTCTTCTAATCTTGTTATATTATTAATCGTATTCACACTTTTCTGATTATTATGAAAAACTAAAGAAAAAAAAATATATTAAGAAATCGCTCGCAAATGGTAATAGACAGTAATATTTTATCACTAAAGATGTTAGAAATGTATTATATCATACGAACAAATCTTTATTTCAATATTCGTATAACGAAACAATTATCATATTTAATTCTAATACGAACAAAGTTGGAGTCAACCTTATTCCTATTCTATTTGTTAAGATTATATCGTATAAATAATATAAGAATAAATTTTGAGATAAATGTTTTTCTTATTGACTTATTTCACGAAGTAAAGGAAAAATGTTTTTCTAACGTATGAGAATGTGTGTTAGTCGTAAAAGAAAATGATTGTTTGAACGAAAGGTAAAGAAAGTTTGTATAGATTAAGGTAGCCCTTTAGTAATAGAAAGGATAATTACGTAAAAAGTCGTTCGTTTAAAAGGTCTAATCTGACCCTAATCCCGATCGTTTCTTCTTTTCCTATATTCTATATGCCTTTCCAACTCCAATGTCGTTACCTCGAAGGACCAATCTAGTTAAGTCTAGTCAAGACTACCAAACTTCCATTATCACGTACCAACTATGTATCCACAAATAGCGTCTATTATATAAGTATATTCACGATTATATCATATACTCGAGAAATTCTCGAATAATAAAATATTTTCAATTATTCACTGCGTTCAATTCTTTTTACATTTACTCGACTAAAATACTGGTTGTTTTAAAAGTCACTTAACCCTTTGATAATAACAAAAATTTCCCACTCTTGTAATAAATAAATGTGGTTGTTCCTAAGCATAGCAGGACATGAGCGTATCAAAAATAGAATGACAAGAAAAGTAAACCCAATATTTTGTTCTCTTCTCTTTCATCTTTTTCTTCTTTCTTTTCTTCAAATAATTCCTAACCAACATTTTTATCTATTATTCAGTATAATCTCAAATAATAACACATTCTCGCATGGTCGACTTTATTGGCATAAGGCACTGGTTTCTGACAAAACGATAAAGAAGGGGACACACCGACAAACTTCAATTTTATTGGCTGTACCCCCACGACTGCTCATATGGAGATTAGGGGTTAACAGAGCAAATAGAGCAACCTTGACGCAACCCTGCAAAACAAAAACATCACTCACGCGGATACTAGAAGATTATAAATTTATAATTTTTCAATTTGAAAAACACCTTTATTTCATTCCTCTAAATTCTCTTTATTTGCCCAAAACTAGAAATTTAAAATTAATTAATCCTTTAACGTGTAATTCGTCGTCGTAGACATTTCTTAAAAAAAAAAAAAACAAAAAAAAAGTACAAAAAAATATACCAACTCTATGAAGTAAATATTAAAACGAATATAATTAGATGCATTATCATAACCTTTTCATATTTATACAAAAAAAGACATTGATAAAAAAAAAATGCGTTAATATTATCCTGTTAAATTCAATGAAAATATAATTATATGGATTGTCATAAAATTTGAATTCTCTATAGAAAATAGAATGTAAATGAAAATGCATGAATAGGTTTTAATTCTGGTAATACATAGATTTAAGGTTTTCAATTGAGGGATAAATGCATTAAAGGGTGAAACCGAAGTAGTCGTAGATTGGAGAAGTATGGGCTAAAAGCGACTGAAGTTGAAAAAGTTGAGCCAGGAGTTAAGTGTCTTTATCTCGTAGAAAGAAGCGAGAGCGAAGAGATATCGGCACGAGCACCAGCCATCGCTTTATCTCTTTCGGCACGTTTGCCAGGACCTGACGCAATCTCGAGTACCGGCGAGCTTTCTAGCACTAGGTTAGATCGTGTCAGGTGCCACGTCTCGAAGAGACATTTTAAGAGATTTTAGTCTCGACCTTGCGCCCATACTTCCGGCTCTTCTTTACCGAGCTTAAAATGTTGCCTTTAATAATACTACATTTTATAATAATAATTCACGTGCCATTTATAATAAGACTCGTCTAAATAAATAGTAAAAACTCCTTAAACGGAAACATCGAAATTGAAATTAATAGGGAAGAGGTGATATATATTTAAAAAATAATATTATTTAATATATAAAAAATATTTGTATCATATTTTGATATATTATTATTATATAAAACAATTATATTGTAATCTGACAATTTAATAATATATTATATAACAATATAGTTATTTATTATATATATTATATAATAATTAAACACACTTAATTAATATAGGGTATTCATAAATAACTGATAATAACTTTGAAGCTTGTAACATCATGAATTACTAATAGATTTTAATTGACTTTTTTTGTTATTAATTAATAAGGGTAATAGAACATTATTTTACCGAACATGTTTACAATCACTACCTCTATATTTAATACAAGCGTCAAGAGAATTTTTTTTAAGTTTCTGACGATGTCCGTTCACTCTGTCATGATTACTTGTTTTTTGTTTTCGAAGATTTTCAAGTTGTTGCTTTGCAATGTATTTTAAATAGAAGATTTTTCGTTCTAGAATTGATCATATAGTTCATACAGTTTAACTTAGGAGAGTTTGAAGACGAAATATTTTTATCGAAAATTTCAGGAAACAATTCTTTGAAGCATACCATCGATTGTTTGCTCCATCTGTAGATGCTCAATCGTGTTGAAAGATCCAATGACTATTTCTATAATATAAACTTATAAAAAATCACTTATTAAAAATACGTTACAATAGAGCAGCATAAAAAGATTTTGAAAAAGACAACGTGAAATAATCGTCGAAGAGTATGTTAGCATCTTTGAAAACTCTACAAAGTGTCCTGACGTTAAGTAACTATATTATTATAATCTGATTATATAGTTGATTATATATCAAATAACATAATTTAAAATAATAATATAACAGATAATATATCAGAAAAGTAGATAAAACATTCAAATTACAATGGTTAAACAAAAAAATAATTAATTACCGATAAATCGTTTTCCACTGGAGAATTTTCACGATGAAGTCACGCAAATAAAATTAACATTCCCTTCTAAAATGTACTTTTTCTTTTAATTAATTAACACGTCCGTGATATGCCACGAGTTCATCTTGTTTATTCCTTTCTCGTACTTTTCCTGATATTTCTTAATAACTGGTAACAAACTTTAATGATGTCTAATATTTTAATATTTCTATATTATAATATATTTTGCTGCCTCAGTAATTAATTACTTTGTTTCTAACGATTATATTTATTTCGACGTTTTATAACGCTAATATTAATATTATTTTCTTTCAGTATTTTTATTTCTTTCCGACTTTCGAATAAATTCGAGGAACTTTTCGATGTTTAATAAAAGAGTTTAACAAGCGCTCGCACCTTGAGGATTAATTGAAAACTTTACGAAATTACTCTCTCGGACTATTGACATTAATTAATGTAGATTTTAATAAATGTAGAATAAAATAAAAATTGTTAATATACAGACAAATTTCATTCGGAAGTGTTTAACTTCTTCGTGAATCGTTCGACGATTTTGCATGACTTGATCGAAATAAGAATATAAAATGAAAGCTTTTCGTCGAACAACAGTAATGGTCCCGATTTGTGTCTGCTTTTCGTGACCGAGTAAAACGATTCCGAGGAGAAAAAAAAGTATTAGAGAAAAGGAGTAGACTTTTATATATTTACTCATACGCGATTCGTTTATGAAAAAGATAAATAAGACAAACAAAATAGTCGTTTAAACTTAAATTCCAGTTACGATGCAAATCTAGAATTTGATTTGGCATTATTATTGGATCGAAGGTAAACTCGTCAGAGTCTTTATTTAAAAAGAATTGATTAAAAGGTAGAAAGAAAAGCTTCATTAAGCTCGAGTCTTTCACAAAGATAAAAAAAATTATAAGCTTGTATAATTAATTAACTTACATCTCCTGCAGCTAAATTACTTAGTTTGTGTCTTTAAGAGATTTTCTGAATCATTATTTTTACTGTTATTATTATTA